CAGGTTATGGCAAGTTGTTTCTGATGTCTACCTGCACCTAACCAACACTGGTCCATGTACTGGGTATATGCAGGTTAGTGCAGGTAAAATTGGAGCAGTGCAGGTATTTCTGCTGTCTACCTGCACCTAACCTGTACTGGCCCATGTACTGATAGATTTGTATAAGTATAACTACGTTTGGTGCACGTGGACTTTTATTTGCTGCATTTACTGTTACTAGGACCAGGGTTGGACAAGTCCAATTGCCCACTTGCCAAGGGCAAGTAAAAGTACTGTTCGGGCAAGTGTATATTCCCCTGCATTTGCCTGATTGGGCAAGTACAAATTTTTTTTTTATGTGGCATTATGCCCCAGTGTTTTCCTCATTATGATTGTCAGAAAATCCATAGCACCAATTTGCTTTCAAACTGAAGTTAGAATAATTTCTTTGCTGCAAGTAAAAATGCATCAAAATATTTCATAAATCTTTTGGGGCAAGCGGATTTTTTAAAAATTGTCCAAACCTGTAGCTCGAAGAAAAGAAATAATGGCAATGGTGATGCTAGTCAAGCCTGCAAGTTGCTGCTGAGGTACCACATTTGAATCCTGATACTGCTCGAAGGCCAATTTGAAACAGCCTTGTAGGAGCCACCAAAAGATCTGCTTGGAGATCAGCAACTTGCATCTGTTGGACAGCAGTAGAAACCTTATGATCCCTCTGGGACCACTGACCAAATTTCCATGTCCATGAGAAGAGCCCCCCTACTGCTGCCCAGGTGTTAGGCCTTGTATCTGGTGTCTGTTTGGTCCCCAGATCCTGATGGTCTTCACTACAAAGGTGCTGAGCCTCATAATTACCATTAGCATAGGAAAGAACCTTGTTAGGAAAGCATAGGTAGCAGATCAGGGTTTGAAATTCATTTTTGGGAATAGGTGCACCCAACCTAGAAAATTAGGTGCACAAGAAATTTTTGGGGTGCACCATATAAAACAAACCTATGTACAGATCTTACTGCTCCTCTTCTGATCTTCAATTTCTGAAATGGGAGCTAACTTCAAAATCTTACACAAGTACTACAACAAAGATTTTTATTCTTTTTCTGACACTTAGATGCCAAGAATATCCCGTATACTATTAGACATATGATATGCACAAAACTACCTACAAAAAAATTTTGGTGCACCAGTGCACCCACAGAAAAAAATTGGGTGCACAGCTCCAATTTTGGGTGCACTAAGGTGCACATGCACCTAGTATTTCGGGCCCTACAGATTGAACACAGTTTTCTGCCTATGGGGATTTCTATAGGTGACTTCCTTCGAAAACCAAAATAAGATATGGTTTTCTTAGCATGTGAGGCCCTCTTTTAATACACTGTCCTGCGAGGTCAACTGAACTGCAGCCTAGCTAGATACGGCACATTTATACACCAACACTGACAACAGGAAAAATTTTTCAATCCAAATTATACAGTCTAAAAGCTGATATATTCTTATATCATTTTATAAATACTTTACTGGGTGGTGCAAGTAAAATTTGTTTGGTGCAGCTAATTCTCAATGTTACCTCCACTAGTGCAGAGAAAAAAAAGGATTTTAAGCCCTGGAACATATCAAGATGTCCAGTAATTCCTACCACTTGGGTCCATGTTATCTCAGCAGGCCTGATACTGCACCATTGCAGGGTTTTTATTTTCCTTACTAATCTGCAACTCAGCAAAGACTGAAGCACATGGGTGGAGTCGCCCCTCCCCTTGCAGACGCCACCATTTTCCTAGCCATGGGATGATACATGTAAATGAGAGGCAGGACAACAAGCTCCGCTCTCAAAACAAACCCTTGTTTTCCTTGCAAACACGTCCATACTTTCCCAGGGCCCTGAGCTATCTTTGGTCGCGCAAGTTGTCTTTCGTTTCATGTAGGATCGCAGGAAAAAGATGACTTCTCTGACACCAAGACGCTTACCGAGAATTCTATGATTTAAAATCACTGCTTGCACAAACACTGTTTGTTGTGTTTCGCAGGCAAGATTTTGTATTACTAAGATTTGATTTTGTAGTGAGAAAGAATGCATCAGAGGAACTTAAAGCATCCATGAAGGCTCTATCATACGCAGACATCTCTCTACAGTAGTGCTATGTAGTGTTTGGACAGAGCATGGGGAAGAAATACCAAATTTCAAATTACTTTCAGCACCAGAGCTGGAGCAAGATCCTGCATCTATTTCTTTTTTTATTCAACAAAAGAAAAGAACAAAAGAAGTGGAACCATCCAACGTGACAACATAAGTCAAATCAAACCAAAGTAACTTAAATGTACATATGGAAGTAGTAATAAATAGGTAATATGATTTAGTAATATAAATATAAGTATTGTATAACAAAGTCCTGCATCTATTTCTTATGTCATCCTCAACTGAGGTGAACATGATAACTTTTCAAGTATGTAATGGCGACTAGTGCAAAGAAGCTTCGCTATGGCTCCTGAATTTCGCCAAGCACACCGGGTCACCCCTTCTCTTCTCGATAAGTGTGCTGGGTTCTTTTACGTGCAGAGGTTTGGCACCAAAAGTTCCCTCTTGCACTGGGTCGCAGGCTTTATGTCACCATCCGAAGAGACAATGCAAGACTTTTCCTGATCTGGGTGCAAAACCAGGCCACTGGCTCCACTGAATTTCAACCAAATGTGGCAAATAGCACAGTGCACAGACCACAGATGTCATGATGTACAAAATGACTAATAATATGGTGGATGTACCAACTACTAAGGCCGACTTTAGACTGACGACGGTATACGATCGCACGACAATCGTTGTGGGCGACGGCTGGCTTTAGACACATGACCAGGAAGTGTGACGGACACCCGCAGCGCAGGAGGGCACGCCGCGCGCCAATTCAAAATGGCGAGAGAACCCCTTTTTTCGGCATGCTGCAGAAGATTGTTTTTATTCTGCTTTTAACTCGTTGTTCTGTGGATGAGACTCCTAGTTTGTGCCCAGCAAAGAAGGGGTATGAGGCACATGTACCAAGCGGGGCAATATACTCCGGGTTTGAACCCGGCGTTTGGTGCTGCCGTCGGCCTGGCTATATTGGCCGGGAAATGTGGATCGGCGGATCGGTTCGTACCGGAGAAGTAGCGATTGGTGGCTGGGGATTGTACTAGACACGTATGACGATATAAAGTCTTTGGTTTGACGGCATTTAATGATACTGGCGATGTGCTTAGACATGAAATAACGCTTGCGGGCTTATTTGCATAAGGCCAATGACCTCCAACTTCCTTCGCCGGCGACGGTTCACTTTAGACGGTGGAAAGTCCTCCTCGGACCCCCCGCTAAGTATCTGATAACAGCCCAGAAAAGAACGAGAAACAGTCATGCCTTCAAATATCAGAGTTATCAGCCAAGAATTGAGGTGTTCAAAAACTCGTATTTCCCCAGAACTATCGTAGAGTGGAACTCGTTGCCACCAAGCACAGTTGGGGCATCATCACTAGAAAGCTTTCAAGAACTCCTGCAATTAAATGTGCAAAGATTGAGTGTAACAAGTCGTTCGGTGTGATATAGCTAACTGGTGTGCTACGCTGAAGGGTCGTTAAACCGGCTATACTGATACAGATATAGACTAGAGTAAAGACTCTGAACAGGTCCTAGAATTGTTCGTTATACACAGCACTGCACTGACACCTGTAATATTGTGTACATGTATGATCTCTCATTGCATTTAAGCTACAGATTTGGATGTTTTGGGTGGCAATGGTTTATGTTTGTGTGTTTGGTGTCTGCAGTTGAAAGGATTATGTAATAGTAGAGTGTATGAGTAATAATTCATTCTATGATGCTTTAAGATGACCTTAATACAAACCATACATGGGACAAAAGACCAAGAGTAAGACAATGTCAGAAATTTCTTCTTCTGTTTGTGTCATCACAATTTTTTCTCTGCACATTACACTATCACACTCCCACAAACTGTCAGGTAAAACTCTTCCCAATATTAAAAATTCTACTGTAATATGAAAATTAATGAAAAGACTGTTTTCAGGGACATCTCAAAAGACCCATTTTTTATGTGTGCAACTGCAAGGCATGAAATAATTTGTCACTTAATGACTGGTATCTTGTACCATCTATCTCGTGTGTAATGAGGCATACTTTATGCTTACTGCCGGTAAATTGCAAAGAATGGCTCCTAATCACAGTAAAACTTTTCTTTCTAGGAATAGAATCATAGATGTCGGATGTGTCGCCAACATCAGAGCTTATCATCATAATTTATCTGCACATTTTTTCAAACTGAATCAAAAATTTCCTTTGGAGTGACTGTCTGAAAATTAGAAAAAGTGTCTTTGCATCTGATTTTCAAGAACAGGGCTTGGAGAAATTACAATGGACGTATCAGTAAAACAAATCTGACCTCCTTTTGAAAACCTGCTTGGGTAAAAGAAACCCACCAGTTGCCACTTGTATACCATCACCCAATCTACCACAACCCTCCTTCTAAACCACAAATGAGCTACACACTCACTTCACTTCTATGTAGGCGTTGTGGATTATAAGAGAGGTCGCGACCGGAAAACGCTGTCAAAATCTACTTTTTCGAGCAAGAAGCAACATTTTCTTTTCTCTCGAGGATTGGGGTGGATAGTTGAGGGGAGATGTGGGGTTAGAAAATTACAGATTTTGCGGGTTGGGCAAAGAGGAAGTCAGGAGTGAGGTTCCTAGTTTCTCACGTGCGTAAAGTCAGGCTAGGTAAACACTGAGACCCCTCCCTTCTCAAAACCACAACATGACAGCTACCATAACTCATTCCCAGAACCATACAGGACACGCAGAGTGGGAGGGAATGTTGTGATTTGTACGCCGTCGTGCTGCAAGGCTTGGAGAACGTTCGCGAGAACTACATTTTATTTTCGGTTCCGAAAAAAATGAAAAACGGTGTGTTTCGCCTACCTGAGTCGCATGAAACCCCGCAAGGAAGCCGCGATTTGCGCTAGAAAATAATCATGACAGCAAAGGATACAAGTTAAGTCCAAGTCGAAGCCGTCTTCTTGAAATCTCCTCTTCTTCTTGGAGACCAGGGATTTGAGTGTGTTGGCCATGGTGCCGGCTGTGCCCTCGGCTTGCCCTGACGACCTCGTTTCCCCCACCGAGCTCTTCCGCAAGGGTCGGAACTCTCTCCTCCGCAACTTCGGTGCCTCCGGAAGCGAAAACCCACTGTCTCAGCCCTCCCTAAGTTACCTCAGGTCCAGCTGCTGTGTCCAATCGCCCAGAATATGTCCTACAGACGTGCGATCGCGGAAGGACAGGCGATCCCGGCCACTTTGCGCGCAGAGACTGGACTTCCTCACGATCTGGCAGCCATCATGGCGTCTGCTTCCTCATGGACTTAAATTAACATATCCCTCCGCCGAAATCTTTGAAAAATTCTCTAAATTCGCATCGACCTTACGGGTATTGAAATTATATAAATATTGTATACTTTATTGATAATTTATATAATGCGCTCATGCAATTTTGTTACTAAGACTTGAATCGTGCAGTTATGACACCCTTTTGCGGTTCTATTTTCGTTCGGATGGATTTAGGATGAAAACCGCCCATGTGACTTTAAACTCGCAAGGCCTGTCGGGAAGGTTTCCAGGCGCCGGGCAGTCGCCCATCTGTCAGACTCGACAAATTCAAACTTTTATTGTTTCTTCAAACTTCGCAAAAAATTTAAAACCATGGGATCCACGCGGGATTTGCCGGTCACGAAATTACCCGTCAGTTGTAGTTAGTAACGCGTCGTCCAGTAGTTAGTTTGGATGTAAGTTCGGCATGTTTTGCCAGAAAGATCCGACTTTCCCAAAACGTGTTTTGCCGCACCTTCATCATGACATATAAAAGTTGATCGTTTCATATCTTGACAGTTTAATGACTTGGACAAGATATCATAATCTGGAGAATAATTCAATCCTAGCTTAACCCAAAAAATCATCAGACATGGAGCTTTTTCTATGGGTTCAGCAAGTACTACGACTCAGCTTAGATCCCACTTTATGGTCCAGAAAATTGCGCCTTTTTCATTCAATTTTTTTTTCATTTTCATTTCATTTTCTACCATTACGCTAGGTCACCAGAAAAGATTGCTTCTAAACGCCAGTTGATAGAAGGGCGATTTGAAACTCAAATCCAAATCCGCTAGCCTCAGGGTAGCTAAGAAAAGTAAGATGTCAGCGCTCACAGAAAGCGCATGGAACCGGACGTCGTGTTCAGTTGTATTCAGGGATCTCCCTAGGCTACACTAGATTTGGACCCCTTACGAGTTATAAAAATTTTGGAGGAGAATATCAGACAGACTCCTTACAGTGGTCATGTCTTATTCAACTTATTATGTCTTATTCAACACAGTCATTTTATTGTTTGTTACTCTGTCTTTTGGGTCCATCGGACTCAATGCGTGGCTTGCGCTGCACAGAGTTGTCCTTCTGTACCTGACCCCAACGCTGTGAAAAAAATTCTGGTTAGTTTATTTGATGATTGGGAGAGAAAAAACAATTGAAAACGACAAAAGCCTGCAAAAAGACATACAAAGCCATCCGAAGCCTTGCATGTGCTGTGGAGGTGTACTGTTACCTGACACCTGCCGGTACAGGTGTTCCGGCGGAAGGTGTCTGGACAGGAGAATTCCCCAGGTGTTCCTCACGGCAGGTGCCAGACGTACCCCAGGCGGGGTCACACCTCTCAGATGAAGCCGATAATGTCCCCGTCTCCACCAGAATCCTCCTGGGGAAGATCTCGGGGTCGAAATCGGCCAAAATGTACTAGTAGTAATCTGACAAATGTATGAAATAAGAGATAGCAGACTCCAACCCATTGACAGCAAGCGTCCTCTGGCAGAACACACAGGAACTGCATATCAAACACGCTCTCATGCAGAGAGACATGTACAGTGAGACGGAGAGACGGAAAGACAGAGAGAGAGAGAGACAGTCAGACAGATACTACTAGACAGACAGACAGACAGACAGACACGCAGGTCACATGTCAAATCTATGTCTGTCCCAAGAGTGACTTCAGAAGCGCCTGATTAACAATCTTTACTGTGTATCTACAAATATGTAGAAAGATACAGTTGATGTCTCTGTAAATCGCGGTTAAACCACATGAAAGCCTTTTCAGAGGAAAAGAAACACTGATTCACACCCTTTTTCGGACACTACGCGAGGTTGGTATACACAGACACAGACTGAGAATAAATATATAACGTAACATGTACTAGCACCTGGTCGTCTAGTTACGATAACCCGAAAGTCCTGGTAGTTTCCGAGTGTCTGTTTAAAGAAATAAATTTGTTAATAAAATAAAAACGCCACGCGTGTTTGAGTGTTTCAATGTCCCTAGCAAGTTTCTGTAAACTTTAAAAAGTACTACTAGTAGGTAATCAGCAACTCTTTTTACATGTACAAAAATGTCTGTTTTTATCCGTTTCACACCTACTAGTACTAAAGACCACTTTATCCGTTTTTAGCAAAGGGGACTACCAATGTCTGCTTGAAGATTTATTTGACTACGTACGTTCTGCATTATGCATTCTTGATAATGAATGATTCTGTTAAGTTTGTATATCCAAGGTTCGTGCCTTCCATATCCTCAAATTTAAAGTTCAAACATCGTGGAAATGACCTTTGTTCACAATTGGCGCCTTGCCATGTGTACAAACTTCTCACTATATTTGTAGTAACTACGGTTGGTGTTTTGATGTTGGCTTTTTTGGTCGATTGTCTTATGTTTTCTGCGTTCTGTTTAAATTAGGATTGGTATAGGTAGGAATTCTGTTGTTTTACTTAATTTTGATGAAATGATCCAACGTTAGCCAATGCAGTTTAACAAATTTATTATGTATACATAAAACTGAACTACATCAGGCCAGGGCTGTCTCCGGGACCAATCCCTCAGTTTGCTTGTGGGAAGGGCCAAATATTTCATCCGATTACTAGTACTTACCCCTTGCGTCAAAGTTGCATTGCCGACGGCGATTAATAGAGGGCGCTTTTGATGCATGCTACTCATAACTACCTATAAGTTAACTAAACACTTGTTTCACAAAATGCATCATAACACTTGAATCACAGATCACACCGGCGGACATCGAACACCCAAACAATGCAACCTAGATATAGGGGAGAGTACATTCATTTGTAATTGTGTAGAACCAATTTCAAGCTGCACTGTGCCTTGTTGTGCTGGTGACATTTCAGCAACCCTTTTTCTTGAAACAACCAACGTTTCCGTTCAAATTCAAGCTTATTCTGACAGCACCATAGATCAAGAGCAAAACTAATTCAGAACTGGAAAAACACAATAAACCAACATTGCCGGTACAGTAAAGGTGTTTATTGTATAAGTACATGTATCAAAATGAAACCTGAGCTGTGTTCAGATTAGTAATATATATACAGTAGATGCTGTGTTCTTATAATTTTATTATCAAAAAGGTGTCACGTCATTGATTCATGTAGAACCACTTTAACCTTCTCCCTGCTGCCTAACCATGTAGCCAATACAAATTCAGTCCAGAAAGGCTACTTCAGCAGTGATAATGTTAAAATTATTGAGAGAACCATTATATAGTACTTGGAGCCATCAAATGGAATTCTGAAAAGCCAAGAAATCTTGCCCCAAAACAATTCATGTATGAATAATATACATAATTTAAACCCTTTATTATAGTAGTAGTCATACATCTGTATGATTGCGACTTTAAGCTTTTTTTTTCCTATCAATCATTTTGACAAAATCTCATGTAAAACTATGCTGGTTTTATTTTTTTTGGCTTGGATGTCCAGATTTTGAGGGCTAAGGGAATATATTGTGCAAAAAAAGGGACAGGTTCTTAACAACTGCTTATTCATAAGAACAAATTTCTTTGACATCCTGGAAAACATTCCACATGTAACATGTACAAATCATTCACACATTTACAAAGCAGCATACACAGTTCAGTACTGCCATGAACAGTTTATTTCCTTCTGGTAGGTCCCCCTACTGTCATACTGGACATAGACCTGCTGTTGTCACTTGACTGTAAGGCTCTCTGTTGATACTCCGCAACCCGCTGCAAGAACTCTGGCTTACGGACAACTTTCTTCTCGATGAACTCATTAAAGGCTGATGCTCCATGCATTTGGGACAGCTGTGCGTCCAAATCCCTGCTTTTCTTTTTGGCCTCTGTCGTGTCTTTGTCACTCAGTT